ATGAAATGAATACATTACATACATTGGACTTATCAGTGTATGTGTGTACACATGTATATCGAACTTGATTTGTACAATGAACACGCCGCAAGTGTACGTCTACTTTCTACTTTCAAAGTCGAATTTGATTCGAATTCGAAAATAAATATTGGATTTTGATCTCGTTTCTAAATAGAGATCTCGCTTCGTTTTCAATCTATTTACGGAACCACCGATTAAATTGCTTCATATTCTAGTTCAATCCCCGAATATCCCCCTTGTTCTTTAATGTGATCTACCGTTTCATTGATCTACCGAAGGAAGATTATATTACGATATCACGGACGAAAAATGGAAGAAACGAGAAGGAGGATAAACTCGGCAACGAGGAAATCTATCGACGAACCGTTTTATGAGAATTATCCTACTCGTATTTTCGCTTTTCAGTATCTTCTGATCCTTTTAAAAGCTGGACCATGCGCTAAACGAGATCCAGAGACTTGAAACTGTAACGATTATTAACATCAATGAATGTTTACGTATATCTTCGAGTATAACTGTACCGATAACAATGGAATGAAATTTTCAATCGATAATTTGGTCTGATATGACTTTGTAAAAAACGATCGTACGACGATCCACTTGATCACGTTTTAAAAGGTAAAGTTTTGACTTTGACAGTACCAAGTTTATTTCCTTTAAAGATCATTTCGCATAAGGCGATATATAATAGGTACGAGAGTAAGGATACTTTTCTTTCGAAAATTGCAAGAACTCGAACGTTGAAACATTTGTTTCTTTTTTTTTTTTTTTTTTTTTTTTTTTTGTGCCTAGAACCATCTTGTGGTCACGAAAATTGGAGTCTTCCCTTTATAAAACTCGGTGTACGATATTTCTTTTTCGCCAGTTTATCAAATTTTCAATGCTAGGGTTAGATAACGAAGTTGCGTTGGGATTTCTTGAATTTTTGTCGTTTGGACCTTGATATTTAACGTTGATGAAAAAAAGGGGAAAGGGCTTCAAAGCGACGATGAATACAATTGCGGTAAAAATTTTTCAACATTTCACACACGTTTGAATCTTTACAATTTTCAAGAAAACAGTATTCTCGCTTTCCCACTCGCTTTCTTTAAAAAATAAATAAATATAGGCTATAAGAATAGAGAGTTGACGCTTTAAAACGGGGCAAAGTGGATCGTTACACGATCTTCTTTTACGAAACTACGTCAGTCTGAATTATCAGCAATTTTTCACTGTCCAGTTGACGGTACAGTTACGTATCTTACAGTGGGCAACGTTTCCCTCTGGTATTATCAATACCAATAAGGTATTCATTTTGTTCTGGCGAGCCTGAAATCCCCTCGAACGGGACGATATTTGCCTTCCTTTGCCTTAAAAACGCCCGGATATCGTTGTCGACGCTGTTATTATTTTCTCGCGAAATATTGAGCCGCGCGCTCGACATTGTTTCCATTTTGAGGGTCGGCGGGGGAGGGGGCAGGGAGGGAGGCGAAAAAATATCTATCGGACGGCAGAGGAGGTTCGAAAGCTTTCCGAGCTGTTTCTCGGCGTAGTTGCTGCGAATTTCGTATCACATTGGAAGCACTGACGTTCGGATCGCAAGTTGCAACTAAACTCGACGCGATATCCCGAATTATGATTCCCTTGGCCGTCCGCCTCGTGGCAACCGCATTTACCTCGGCGTTTCCAACCCTCTCTGCCGCCCCTTCTCTCGCCATCCCGTCTCGGTTGCTGCTCGCTGCTTGTCCTCTGCAACGTCCTCTCACCGACGCACGACACCAGCAGCGTCGACCGAGGAAATCGTCGGTTATTGATTCACCGGCTCGACGTTACCGTCGACGAGAATTAAAATTACACGCGTGACACTGAAACAATGAGCCTGACGTAAGCCCGATTGTACTCATTGAGCCCGGATACTGTGTGTATATATATATATATATATATATATATACATATGTGTGTGTATGTTCTTTGGCCAAGGTTTAATCAAGTCTAGTAGAAAGCAGGATTGTCACAGCCCATTGTCTCTCGATATATTAATATTCGATAAATACCAGGTATTTAATTAAACGCCTGTGCGTAATCGGCTGCATAATTGCCAGCCCTGTCGAATTCGGAATCTGAAGAACACCGTGAGACTTCAACCGTGTCTAGAATTTAGGATCCCACTCCCCGCGTAGTTTGCAATTTCTGACAGTTCTGGACATTTAGAGGTAAGTGTAGAGCTCGTGCTGTTTGTTAACGTTCCTGCACACGTGACAATTTCAATGGGGCGAAGATTTTATTAAAGAAGTGGATTATTTCGAGAGGTCGTATATTAGAAATTGTTTTAACAAATAATTAATTATTAAGAATTATTATTTATTGAAATGTCGCGCGCATTGGGATACGCGTGGGATAATACAAAGGAATGCTCGATAATTGCATCTTAATCGGAATTGGCGTGTACTCGAAATTTGACAACAGTTTCATTCCATTTTATTATCGTTTCACGTTCAATACGCTGTTCATCTATCTCTGCTGAATGCATCCAATATGCGAGGGTGAGGGTGAGCGTTGGAGGGGGGAGTATGAAATTGTACATTTTCTTTTACGTTTTAATCAACGAGCAAGAATATCGAACGCCTTATCATTTTGTTCCCGACTGCAATATCCGCGATATCAACAAGGTAGCATACTTACATCCTTTGCAGTACCGACATATTTTCATTAGCATTGTAGCGTGGCCTTCTCTTATTCGTCACCATAGAGGAGTAACCATAGAGGAAAACATAATTCTCAGAGATGCTCGCTTAACCGTCTCTTCACATACAAATACATCTTGCGTCCTAACCTGCGCTATGCTAGGAAAACCTAGCTGATGATGAGTACGCAAT